AGCCACCGCGCTCCCGTGAGAGCAGACCCAGAGGTATCGCGTGTTGGCCGTGACTAACCAGCGAACCTTCAGCAGCTCCGGGTTCCGATTCGGTGCCACCTTAGGCGGGTGACACTGTCCACCCTGCGAGCCGCCTCGTGGGCCTGCCTCGGAGTTCCTTCCTTTAGATTCAAGACCCAGAGCGATGGCGCTAAGGATCCCTCCTCCTCCGGTCTGCCCACCGAGGGGAAAGACTTCCCTCGGGTTGGCGCACTAGCGCCCGCGAGATACCTTCAGGGCTGTCTCAGTCCCCGCAGGCGAGGTCCGCGGCTTAAGGACATTCCTGCCCCCGACCTACTAAGGAGGAATTACGACTATTGTCCACCTCATTCTTCGGCCGTGACCGCAGCACCAAGCGGCGGGACCCGATCCTTCCCGTCTAGGTTTTCCAGGTATACACACCGGTACGTGCACCCTGCGCGAAGCCAGAGCCCCGTCAGCCACAGGAGGGGTACTCTTGTGTTACCGACTCACACCACGAGGAGGTGGGGTTGGCACATGGGCCCGGTGGCCCTTCTGCGAGTCGCCACCTTTATCCTAATTCGCTCCTTTCAACTCGGCCATCCTGGCCTTCGCTTCGTCTCGAAGCGAGCGCGCGATACAAAGTTTTTCTTGGCGCATCTCGGATCGTCTTTATTTTGCGCCCCTGCTCGTGTCTATTTGGTGCCAGTGGTTGATGCAGTGCCTCGCCTACTTAATGCGTCTGCTCTACTGTGCGGTGAGTTTTTTTTTGACATCTTAACCTAATGTTTTAGCCTAATTTTTAACCTAACGTAACCTAATTTTTAGCCTAATTTTCAACCTAACGTAACTTAATTTTGTCGCGCGAGACACCCTCGTTTTAGTCAATGTCTCGTGCATTTAGTGCATGTTCGCGGTTGCCTATATCTATATTCTCTCTTTTTTTTTCTATTGTGGGTACTGTTTTATCCACGGTTTGATTTTATCTGAGGATAAAACCGCATCCATCGGTCTTTGTTGCACGTTAAATCCTGGGAAATCTTTTATTACATACCTACTGTTTCCTAGTTCTTTGTCTGTCATGTACGGTCCTTTATATTTCGATTTTAATTTCGCATTTTCGCCCGGTTTTACGCGTGTATTTCTAACCATTACGTAATCTCCCTTTTTATATAACGTCGATTTTCGTTGTTCTCGATTGCGGTATTGTTTATTATATGTTCTAATCATTTCTGTCGCTTGTTCCGCTGTATCTCTTTTTGATTTTCTCTCGGTTTCTAGGTCTACATCTATGCCGCTGAGCAGCTTGGTGAACTTGGCGAATTCAAAATCGGAATGATTACGTTGCTCATATCCTAACAGGAGTTTTGACGGTGTCGCTTTGATTGCTGTATGGTGAGTGTTATTAATTATGTATTGTAACGGACCTACGTATGCTGCCCAATTTTTTGTCGAGTCGGCCAATTTTGTTAACGAGCTTTTAATGAATCGATTGACTCGCTCTGTTAAACCGTTTGCCCATGGCGATGCGACTGCTACTTGTCTATGTTTTATTTTTAATTTTTCTGTGACGTTCTTAAATTCCCGGGACGTGAACGCGGTCCCTCGATCGGTTACAATTTGACTCGGATTACCAAACGTGTCGAATAACGTTTGTAGATTCGTGACAGCTTCTTTGGTTCCCGTGGATTTTGTCGGAAATAACCAAGTAAATCTCGTGTATGCATCTATTACAACTAATATATGTTTGTTCTTTTCCGGTGATTCCTCTAATGGACCGAAATGATCCATATGGATGATTTCCATGGGGAAACTTGCTGCGGGGAACAAATGCGTTTCCCCCTCAAACTGGTTCGTCGAGCTATTGGCTATTACACAGGTGAGACAATTTTTAATATAGTCGCCTATTCTTTTTCTCATCACCGGGAACCAAAAATTCTGTGTTATTCCCTGATAAACCTTCTCTGCGCCGCAATGAGCCATCTCGTCGTGGTGTGCTCTTAATACGTTCATTATCATTAACTCTGGAATCACGAACTTTAACTGCTCTCCGTCCTTCCTGTACACTAGCCCGTCTACTAACGCGAACTTATCGTTATCTTTATATTCTAATTCTTTGCTTATTTCTACTATTTTAGGATCTGTCAATTGGCGATATTCTAATTCTCGCTCTATTGGCATTGAATCTACGTGCGCTACGCTGCGGCTCAGGGCATCTACGTGCACCATCTTTTTCCCTGGACGGTGAGCTACCTTAAATTCGTAATTCTGAAGTACCAAAGTCCATCGTGCGATACGCGGATTCAAATTTACTTTGTTTATTGCGTATACTAGCGCATTACAATCTGTTACTATAGTAAATTTCAATCCGTATAAATACAGGTGGAATCTCTCTACTGCCCGTACTATCGCTAACATTTCTAGCTCGAACGAGTGTTAATTTCTTTCTGCCTGATTCGTTCCTTTGCTATAATACGCTACTGGGCCCCATCCTAAATCTTTTTGATTTTGTGGAAATACACAAATCTCTACCCTCGCTCACTACATACATATATATTGTTCCTATATCATGCACTGATGCATACTTTTGTTTCCTTTGTCTCAAGTCTCATCTTGTGTTCAATACGAATGACGCGCCGCTCCGCGTACACGCGACGTACCTCATTTTCTTTTCTAGCATGCGCGCACTATATTATTTCTATAGTTCTGGTCCTTCTCTCGCTACCGCGCAGCAGCTAACATGCCACGTGTAACGAGAGCATTCTGTTACTTTGACCGACATTAAAAGGTCTGTGAGCCTGAGACGTATAAGCAGAGTATTCATTTCGTCGCCCGAACCATCCCGCCCGATCCAAATATATGCAACAGTTTTTGCAGGAGTATCGCGGCTAGACCGTCTATGCTTGCATCGGTATGCAGCTCGGTTTCCGCCGCTGGGTCGTAGAGGCGCAGAATAGGTGACGAGGTGAGCTCGTCTTTTAATTGTGCGAATGCCCTTTGACACGCCGCGTCAAAAGAGAATTCGCTGTCTTTTCGTAACAATTTTTGTAGCGGTTTCGCCTTTATTGCAAACTGTGCAATAAATTTTCTAAAATAATTACACAGTCCCAGGAAACGCTGTACCTCGTGTGCGTTTCGTGGCGTTGCGAAATTATTTACGGCTTCCGTGTGCTTTGGACTCAGGGTAATTCCATCTTCTCTTATCAGGTATCCTAAGAATTCTACTTCTTTTCTTAAAAACTGGCATTTTCCAAAGTTTAATTCGAATCTATATTTTTTCAAAATTATCATTACTTCTTTTAACGTCTCTAAGTTTTCTTTTACTGAGGTCGAAGGAATCAACAAATCGTCTATGTAGACTATCACTTTATCTTATCTTATCAGTGGATTCAAAATTTGTACTATCCTTTTTTGAAACTCTGCGGGAGCTTCACAATAACCGAATGGTAGTTTCAGATACTCGTATTGCCCGTCGGGCGTGGCAAATGAGAAGTATTTTGTTGATTCTGGGTGTACGCGGATTTGATGGAATCCGTCCCTGAGGTCCAGCAATGTGAATACCTTTTTTCTACTTAACCTCGATAGGCAATCCTCGATCAACGGAAACGGGTACTTCTGTTTTTCCACCCTACTGTTCAAGGGTCTTAAATCTACACATAGTCTCATTCTTCCGTCTTTCTTTCTGATAGGGACGACCCTTGCGCAGTAGGGGGACCGGCTTTCACTTATTATTCCCCGTTTCAGCAAATCGTCGGTGATTTCGCGTATTTGCAGCCGCTCTGCATGCGCGAATCGTCTCGGCGCGTAAGCATAAGTCGAGCTATCTTTCAAGTTTACTACCGCCATATAACCGTCCTCTACTAAAGGTATGTCCAACTCGTTTACTTCGCTAACGATATCTCTAAGTTTCCGTTTATCTTCACGGTCAAAATCTATTTTTGTATTTTCCATAACTGTTTCTAGCTTATCCTCTGTTCCCGTCTCCTCTATACAGAGGGGAAGCAATGAAAATAGCGCGACGCGTTCACCTTCCCGTGTCGTCGTTTATACACCAAGGTGAGTTGCTGTTGTTTCAAGAAGTCACGACCTATAATCATGTCTCCTTCGAAGGTTCTTTTTCAATATATGTAAATCGATTTGGAATTTCGCGTCTTGTAACGGTTGAATAGATAGCTCGGTTTCTACTTTTCCTATAATTTCTAATTTTTGATCGGACGGGTTTCTTAAACTACTTTTTATCGTTTTATTTCGTTTTCTGTTTGCTGTATAAATTTCTCAAAGATATCCTTTTTTACAAATGAGACTGGGCTGCCCGTGTCCAGTAACGCGAGTAATGTACAGCTCTTACCGTTTAGGCTGGTTACTCTTACTAACGGCTCGTTTATTTCCAGGTTCCTCGCGTCCTCGACGGTGGCTACCACTTCGGTGTCCTCCTCTGGCTGTGTGACGCTCGCCGCCGTGTATGCCGCCTTTGCCTGGGTCTTCGGTTTCATTCCGTTGTTTCGCTGCTTCAACGAGGGGCAGTCATATGACCTGTGTCCTTTCTCTTTGCAATAAAAGCAGGAAATTTCCGCCTTGCATTCTTTGAAATTGTGTCCTTTCTTTCCACAATTCTTACAAGTGCCGTTCTTTCCTTGCTGCTTCGGTTGAGTCGATGTCTTCTTCTCTGGATCGAGAGCTCCTTGTGATATGAGCCTCATTTTCTCCAGAAACGAATCCATCGATTCCGACGTCACTGATAGCGCCGTCGCCCTCAGGCTGCTTTGTGTGATACCGCTGATCAGCAACTGGATGGAGTCCTGTATTGGTAGGTCTAATCTGTGCATTAGAGCCAACTTTTCTAATGCGTATTCGTCAAACGTTTGTATGCGTTCTTTGTATGCGTTCCATTTGCTGGCTTCTATTTTTTGCATCATTTTGAAGAAGGGGATCTTCCGGTCGAAGAGCTTCGCCAACTCCGTCCTGAGCTCATCCCATGAATCAAGTACTGTGCTTTCCTGCGTGTCGTACCACCGTTTTGCCGCTTTCGTTAAACAGCTGGATGCTGCCAGGAGCGTGACGCCCTCCGGCGCCCCGTGCACTTGCCGGATTTTCTCGACCCTTCTTATCCAGGCCATCACGTTCTCTTCTTCTCCTCCGCTGAATTCCGGAATTTGTGAAGCCAGGCTCGTCACTTGGCTTCCAGTAAAGAAGTTTTCTCCTCTCTGCCTCTGTGTCTGCAACCCCATCGACGGTGGCGATCTGTCGGTCTCGTTTCCTTCCGCTGACGGTAGGCCGTTCGTTTCCGCATCATCGGTTCCCGTCGACGTTGTTGTTGCAGCGTTTTGCGCAGTCAGCAACTGTAGCAACTGTGTTATCTGTTGCTGTTGCATAAATCGCTGCATCTCCTGCTGTTGCCTCATCACTCCGGCTACCGACTCCGCTACTTGTTGGATCGTGTTCCTTCCTTCGTCTCCTGTCTGCTCCATTTCCTTTCTCGTCTTCACGGCCGTGGAGCTCTCTCCTGTTTCCGTACCTGCTGCGTTCTTCTCTAAATGCGCCATAATTGCTTCTGTTAGGGCGCGTCTGTCCTTTGGTGCTGTTACGTGGTACCGCCTTGCCTCTTCCTGGAGTTCCTTAAGCATCGACTTCTCCAGTCGTGCGCGGTCCGCCCTGGTTTGGCTTCTCGTCCGCCCCATGCACCGTTCCTGGTTTTTCTTATCCCGCGTTCTTTACCGCCGATTTTAACCCGTTTTCAGTCTTAATCCTGTCTATCTCTTTCTTAATTGTGCGCGGTTTCTTTCGAATCCCCCTTTTTTCTTACACGATTTCTACGCGGCTCATCCCACTTCTGATGTTGAAATTGATTTTTATTTTTTTTCTCTCCCGTAAGATCTATTTAAGATTAGTTTAGGATTACCGTTCGTATTTTCTTTTATCGTTCGACCGACGCGTCTTTGACCGGCGGGTCGCACCTTCCGTTGTCCCGTGGCCACTGAGCTTTATTCGCGACTCGCGACTCTCCGACGAATTAATTGACAGTTTAACGTGACGAAAGGAGATGGACAGGATTTACACAAAAGCGAAAGACTTTACGCGGACTCTACTTCGTATAAGTATATTCAAGTTTAACAAATTTACACCAATTCTAGTTTCGCAAGACTCTCGACGAGCAGTCGACTTTACTGCTTCGCCGTCTACCAGAGAGTGCCGGTTTCTCGCTCGCTTTGTCCTCAGCGGACCGCTGGTTCCTCTATTTGACCGATTTTGTTTTCGTGGGTATGTTGTGGCTTTTCGTACTTATGCCACCGCTTTGTGCTGCCACCTTTATCCTAATTCGCTCCTTTCACTTTGGTCTCGTCATGTTTTAAAGTCGTGACGTACTCGCTCTAGTTTTCAGAGTTGAAGATCGTTGCGGCAGTGGCTGCGACGTCAACACATGACTTCAGTCATGCTGAGACGTTGCGAACGCTGATGCGATGTTTATAACCAATTGAATTAATATTATTCGACTATTCACAGCTCCAACTTAGTTAAAGGATAGCGCGGATATAGAGCTTAAGGAACATTCAACGCTCTAGTTAACACCCAGATAACTTCCCAGGATCGCCACAATACTTATTACAGTCGGTGTTGATGACTTAAGTACATTTACCTTTTATTTTTTTGTTTGGTTTTACGAAGCAAAGGTCAGATTTGCTGTATTATATTTATTTTCGTTATTCGCGATTTTTAATATTGACTTAAAGTGCTCTCTGGCGTTGCTCGGTGCGACAAAGTCCGTATTATTTTCTAAATCTAGTTTTTGTTATTTATAATTTTAGGAATTATGTTAACTTTCTACCCATCAATCGTTCCGTGAAAAATTCAACAATACTACTTACACCTATTGTATTTTTAATTTCTTGAAAAGTGAAATCATAAGAAAACATGATAATTAATGCGGAATTTTAACGGTTTTCTTTAAAAATATTTTTAGATTCACTTTAACATTATTTTAGTATTTTCC